TTGAAGATTTATACAAAAGTCAGTGAGAGAGTGAGTGTGTGGGTGAGTGAGTGAGTGTCAAAAAATAAAACAAACAACAAAAGAACCTATATTATTATAAATTTTATAAACAATTTTTAAGGTGATTTATAAATATTGATATTATCTGGTTGAAAAATGATAGACTTATATCAATCAGAAAAGGACTATTTGTTCTATTCATTTTTGACTTTACTTATTACATATTTAAGTATTTTTTAAAAGTAAAAGTAGCTAGAAACAGATATTTTTGCAATTTTTCGTGGATATAGCGTCAGTTATAAGCTTGATTATTTCGATGTTATTGGTAATTAACTGATCAACTATTGACCACTGTGTATAAAAAGTTATATTTCATCATATAATTTACATTTTAATAATAACTCGTGTCAATAACGGTTCAAACGGATACACAATGTAAAAGTGCAGAGAAAAACATTCTATGTACAGGGTAACGTTAATAAGATTGAATGAAATGAAAATACTTTAGTAAAAAATTGATTTTTTGTCGCTAAGAAATGTTCTTCTACAATATTTATTAAGTTATATCTGTGAGTTAAACATTTCTTGGATAATCTTGTTGAAACATGAACATTACAAAATTTAATCGAAAACTCTCTTATAATGACTAGCAGAATTTCAGAAGAAGATATATAACATATCAACTGTCTTTTTATTTTGGTGGTAAAATACTGCATATAAGTATTTTTATTTTTAATCTATTATTACTTGTATTTCGAATCTTATTCTGAATATTTCCTTTCAAAAATAAAGAGTTCGAAAAAGTACATACATACTTTTTCATCTAAGTTCATGGCCACTCAAACTTCATTTTATGCTACGATGATAATATGATTGGTTTAGTCATAACCTTTTTTATTTTCTTTTTATTTGTGGTTTACGTTAAGGTTTATCTTAAACAAACGTTTCAAAGCCCATCTCCATATATTATACAATGTGACCCTTAAATATTGTTAACAAACAGATACAGCACATTTCAAATCAATATGCTACCAGTTTGTTTGTTACAATTTTAAAATGTATTTCCTATTCGATATCAAAGCACTGAAAGTACTGTTGGAAGGAAATTTTCATAGAAATACCTAATGCGTGTGAATTAAAAACAAAGGAATATGTGCAAGCTTCAATCTACAGCTAGCTGATTTGATGACGTAAAATGTGACGTCATTGTTTCCGTTTTTGCACTACTCATGTTCAGTGGGCTGATAACTAGTTCTTTGCCCAGGGCCCCAAACCCATAAGTTGTGACACTCATAATCAGTTGAAATCATAGGCAATTCTGTTACTAATATAGTAATTAGTGAATTAATAGATAATACTACTGCATTAATTTATGCACACAAAGAACCACTCAGTTTGACCTAAATCGGCCATGACTTATATGACTACTTCATAGGAATTCAAGACCATGCCATAAGCATTATTTAATCACAGTTAATGAAGAGACTTTTTTATTTTAAACTCAAGGACAAGAAAAGCTCATCATGTGCTTACATTTTGTAAGTTCTAACATAACTAATTGTGTTTTTAGTATGAAATTGATGTACATGCTGTTAAAGTCATAGCAAAACAAAGAACAATGATTTAAAATAAACTTTTATTGTCAAAACTTGCATAAAAGTAAAATATATGTTATATAAAAAATAAACGATAAATATATGGAGATAATGAAATTTAGTTTGTCAGATAAAATGTGTAAAAGGAACTCCACTGAGGTTTTTTTTGACATGATGAGAATGAAATTTATTTTTCTAGATTAATGTACCACTTGATGTATGTTTTGACCACTTAATCTTTGAGAAAAATTTCAGATCATTTGCGCACTTCGTTTTTCAAGAATAATTATTCAATTTGTAAAAAAATTACCCAAAATGAAAGCGTTTTAAACACATATCACCCAGATCAGGCTGAGAAAAAGCATAAAAAAAATTGATTTTCAATTCATTTTCAAAGTATATTTCTTCACTATCTGTGCATATATTTCTGTATCAAGTGCCCCGGCTCATTTCTGTAGAAATTCAAATGTTATGTTTTAGGCTTTTTAAACCTCAATGGAGTGAGTCCCTTTAAATTATTGGTACATATTGAGGTGATACAATTTATAAACAATCTGAAAGAAAGAAGCTTTAATGCAAACGGCCAGTAATATAGGAGGGTGCTGTTTTAAGGATTTTTTTACAATGTACAAGACTGACATTATACAACAAAATATAGTCAAAAGTAGAAATGTGCCCATAGGACTTGAATGCCTGCGTTAAGTACAATGCTTATATTGAGTGGGTAATCAAAATATGTACATAATTAGACAAGCCCACTGGCAGCATATATCAAGCCTGTTGCCATTATTCAGAACTGAACCTTAAAGCTTCAGATTGGGGAGAAAGATGTATACATAAGTGAGCATTTGTGATAAATGTTATGAAAATCCAGCCATGTATATAGAAATATACTCTCATGTTTTAAGTTATTATTTGACTTTTGATCCAAAGTAGTGACCTTGATCTTTGCAACAGACACCTGATTTTTCATACTACACTCCAACTCACTGAAGACTGTTAAATTTTGTCCAGAGTTATATGAAAAATCTTTATAGATTTCAAAAACATAAAAAAAGTTGACCATCATTTGGACTTTCATGAGTTGGCCATGCTAATCTTAGAATGAGAACATAAATAAAATACAACATTATACAAAAGGTAGTACAAAAAATACAATGATCAAAAGTTTGAAAGTGAACACTTGTTGGTAAAATAAACAAGAATTTGTAACAGAGATACCAACGTCCCCGCCTCAGGGAAGTTTTTATATGAGCAAAAATTGTGCTATTTTAAAAGATTGAGGCAGGGATCTAAGGATTTTCAGTCCAAAATTATGATCAATGCTGGATCTGCAAATGCAACAATAAAATTTATTAAAGAAATCAAATGAAATACTGAATTTCAAAATATATATCATGTTATGCTTTGCAGGGATTTTTTGGCTTATTTTATAGCCGTTATTGGGACATATTCCCAATTGAAAATAGTATATAATTTTCCCAATCCAAAGGAAAATATTCCCAATTGAAAGTTTACAAAAAATATAAATATTGAATAAAGAATTCTAAAATCTTTGAAAATAAGGGCTTCTTTACTGTAATAGTGTTTAAATGTTTGAAGAAGCCATCCTAGGCAGTGATTGCTTGCATACATTTAATCACAGCAAACTTTCAGTCATACATTTTTTCCCAATTTTAACAAAATATCGCTGAAAATTCTCAGTTGCATGAGTATGGGTTATGTTCCCAAAATCCTGGAAAAATCCCTGCTTTGACCTCTTAGTGTGACCTTGACCTTGGAGGTAGGGGTGCAGGTGTTGTGCATGACATATCATCTTATCATTGTGACTATTTTGTGCCAAGTATTTTCCAAATCACTTCATCTATGAAGAAGTTATGGACGGGCATAAAAATATACCATATAACCGACTTTGTTACTTTTATACATGTAAGTGTGACCTTGACCTTGGAGGCAGGGGTGCAGTGTTGTAATTGACATATCGTCTTATTATTGTGACTATTTGTGCCAAGTTATTTCAAAATCCCTTGAAACTATGAAGAAGTTCTACATTGGACACAAATATATACCCTTTAAAAGACTATGTTAATTTTTTTACCTCAAATGTGACCCTGACTTTGGAGGTAGGGATGCAGGTGTTGCGCTTGACACATTGTCTTATTATAGTGAATATTTGTGCCAAGTGTTTTCAAATCCTTTGATATACAAAAAAGTTATGGACCAGACAAAAAAATACCCTATAACAGGCTATGTTAATCTTAGACCTCCAAGTGTGACCTGACCTTCATAGGTTGGTGACCGATTGTTGCGCATAACACATCATCTCTCATTGTTGTGAAACAATTGCGGCAAGTATTTACAAAATCCTTTCAAAGATAAGAAAGGTATAGACTGGACACGAGATATACCCCTCAAATGGACAATCTTGAACTTGAATGAGCAAGTGTTACCTTGACCCTGAAGGTAAGGGTCTGGTTGTTGCACATCATCGTCTTATTATAACAAACATTTGCTGCCAAGTTATTTCAAATTCCTTCAATAAATGACAAAGTTATGGACCGGACACGAAATATACCCTGTAACAGGCTATGCTAATATTTGACCTCCAAGTGTGACCTTGGAGGCAGGTGACCTGTTGTTGAGCATGACACATCTTCTCATTATTGTGAGGAATTGTTGCAAGAATTTACAAAATCCCTTTAGAGATAGGGAAGACCAGACACAAGATATACTCTCAAAAAGACAAGTTGACCTTGAATGAGCAAGTGCGACCTTGACCCTGGAGGTAGGGGTCTGGTTGTTGACATGACTCATTGTCTTATTATAAGAATCATTTCTGCCAAGTTATTTCAAATTCCTTCAATAAAAGCTTGAAGTTGATAAAGATTTGTTCATACATATTTCAACAAGATTGTTGAACAAGAGGGCCATGTGTATATAGGCCCCTGGAGCGGGGCCAGTTTAAAACCAGGGCTTTTATTTGACCAAACTTGTAAGACACCCGTTAGAAGATATTTCATGATGTTAAGTTTTTACTACACACATATAATGTAAAACAAAGACCTCTGCACCACCCCCCACCCCGGCATGGCCAATTTTTATACAAAGGGCTTAAATTTGAACAAACTTGGTCGACACCATAAGATGTTTCATGCTAAACATCTAGGCTCTAGCTCATTGGGTTTTTTTAAAAGAAGATTTTTTAAGTTTTTACTATACACAAATAGTTAAAAACAATGAAACCCCTGGGGTGGGGCCTTGTACACACTTACCAGAAGATGTTTCATGCTTAATATCTAAACTCTAGCTATTTAGGTTTTTTCAAAGAAGGTTTTTTAAGTTTTTGCTATACACACATATAAGGAAAATCAATGACCCCCCGGGGAGGGCCAATTTTGACCCAGGGCTTTTATTTGAACAAACTTTGTAGACACTTACAAGAAGATGTTTCATGCTTGATATCTAAACTCTAGCTATTTTGGTTCTTTAAAAGAAGATTTTTAAGTTTTTACTATATGCATATAGGGGAATTCAATGACCCCCTGGGGCGGGGCCAATTTTGACCCCCAGGGCTTTTATTTGAACAAACTTGGTAGACACTCACTAGAAGATGTTTCATACCTTTAAAAGAAGATACTTTGTCTAAGCTCTAGCTCTTTAGGTTCTTTTAAAAAAGAAGATACTTTAAGTTTTTTTTCTTTTGGTTGCCATGGCAACCAGCGTTCTATGAACAATATTTAGAGGTGACCACCAAAGAAACATTCCTGTGAAGTTTGGATGAAATTGGCTCAGTGGTTTATGAGGAGATGTCATTTAAAGTGGACGCCAGACGAAAAAGCGATCAAAAAAGCTCACCCTGTCACTTTGTGACAGGTGAGCTAAAAATAGTTTAAGTGATCTTATTTTCCTGGTGAAAAACTGGTGGCTCAATAAAGTTCTATACATATTATGATATTTCAAATATTGGAAAGTTATCTCTAGTTCTTGGTGAAAGACTGGTGAGTGACTAGTTTTCTCCTCAATGTCATTTCTTTTTCTAATTAGATTAAGTCATGGTACTATATTCATGAGGCTTTCGACATCACATCTAAGAACTCATTATCCAACATTGCAAAGGGCAGGCAGTCTCCTGATATTCCAATTTTTTTTTTAAAGTTTATAAAACCACAATATTTCTATTTCTTTAGTGTTTCAGACATGAAGACACATCTTATTCTACATGTATCTTTCCTTATCACTCCTGCTTTTACTGTTCTATCATATAAGCGCCTCTGTTTCCTGAAATATTTGTTTAGAAAAAGTTAATTGCAAAATTAAAATTCACTTGTAAACCCTTGCCGAGAACGAACTTACAGCAGTGGAAGGCTTAAAGGTTTAAAATCAAGAAACTAAACCAATCAGTCACAGACACCCCAAGTATTTTATCTATTTGCTAAGCAGCAATTTTTTCAAAATTATTTAAATTCATAAATGTGAGTGATTCTGATAAGCTATAGACAGCTAAGTGATGATAAGATGATCATATATGTCAGATATGTCGGAGTGCTAACACTACTTACTGTGAATATTCAATATTTTAATGTGAATTGTCCTGAGGTAAAAAGGAAAAGAAAGCTGAAATCCTAAATACATGTTACATGTCACAATTGTTCTTAGCAATTAATTTTGTTCCTAATTTCTTGTATAAGATATTTAAATACACTGTAATTCTTTTTTATAGATTTGGCTTTTTGTGACAATAGTCTATCCAGTGACCGAAGCTCACTGACTTAAAATAAACTGTCCTGTATCAGCCTTTAAACAAGTCAAGAAAAAAAAACTATTAGAATATAATAATTAAGAAATATCATATACAAATACTTCTAAATAATCATGTACCTCTTCCTTAAAAGCCCATGCTATTGAAAGAGACATTTTTTCCATTTGTTCACTTCAAGGTTAGTCAGATTGACAGTCTCACATTTTAGCCTTTATCTCTCGTGATTTCATTGTCATTGACCCTAAAGCATCCTTAAAATCGATATCCTGCTGTTCACATTCATAAATCTGACATGTAGGCCGAACTTCTGAAACATAAAATATAATTATTATTAGATATACATATAGTATCCCAATAATTATGTTAGTTAATATCAAATCAATAATTTAAGCAGTGTTCGAAATTAGCAGTAGTCTGAGAGTCCGACTACTAAATTTTCTCCTCGGGCTATCAACTTTTCACAGTAACAAGCCCGACCAGGCTACTGTATTTTCAGAGGCAATATAAACAACTGTTTTGAACAAATGAATCGTGCTAGTGAAATGTCTTTTGGACAAGTGAATATTCCAATCTAGTAGTCTGACCAGCCTAGTCGATTCAAATCCTAATTTCTTACACTGTTTAAGAAACAATTTGTTCAAAATTGTCCAAGCATAAAGATTTTTATAGTATACTATAGTAATTATAGTGTATATACAGTATGTATTAAATGTCTTTACTATCTACTATACTGTCCTGAAATTTCAAGAAAAACAACTATCTTTAAAAATCCATTTTCTCAGAAGTTGCAAAAAACCAAGTGAATGAAATTGCTCTGGGTTTGTATTATTCTGTACAACTTCTGATCACAAAAGCTTCAAGGACATTTATGAGTGAGTCAGGTCCTATCCTGAAAGATTGTTGTTCAAGTTTGAAGACAATCCATTCAAAAATAACAAATTATAGCCACTAATAGCAAAAATCAAGAAAATTTAGACATTTACCTTGAATGTTAATATGGTGGTCAAGTTAATTTAGTTTAGTCTGGTCTATTTGAAGGGTTGTTGTGGCCAAGTATGAAGACAATACACCAAGATCTGAAAAAGTTATGAACAAGGTTAAAGTTTGATGACAGCAATGGAAAGCCGTCATGACTAACAATATATTTAATAATTTTGGCCCTAATGCAAACTGAAAATTCTAGCCTATAAACACTGTTGAGACTACATGTAGCTGTTCAGCATTTTTTCAATAATAAATAAATGCAATGATAAAGTCGGTAACTTGCAAGTCTTCTAACATTTTTACAAAGAATGAACATATATACAGTGATTTTTTTACAAACTCATCAGTGTGGGTCCTTAGTACTCGCTGGGCTATAAATCTATGAGTCCCATAATTTAGCTGACAAATCCAAGTTACAAATCTTAATACTGCTTAAGTGATATGACAGGTATATTAACAATGGAATGGAGAAAAAAATGAATTTGATTTCTATATTAATTACAATGCTTCTGATACTGAAATTATTCAAAACTGTCAAATAAATTTAATATGTTTATTTCCATTAATTTAGTTTGATATTTTTAAGCTTACCTATAGTATAGCACATTATTATATCTTAGCTGGACCTAGAATATGATTCGAATTCGAATCAGGGTCAGATTGGCCCTTAAACGTATTTGGCCCTCGAGACAGCTCGGCCCTATTCCAACTCAGCACGGGTCAACTCGGCCCATAATTACATAATTACTGATAATGATTACTTTTCTTACTTTTGATATGTTTTCATCATAACTGTCATGGTTTAACATTTTCACACTAACAGACATCTACTCAAGGATATTGAAAAGTATGTGAAATTGTAGAGAAAGAAAGAATTTACAATTTAAACGCCATTTTATGCTACTCCAGATTTTTTTGTAAAAAATATTGTTAAACAAGCATTTGCCATATTAAAAAACAAACAGTATTAAATACAATAAAATTCATTGTCACAAAAATTCAATCTAAAAACTCTATTTATTGATTAAAATTTAACATATATTGTCTTGACATCTCTTCTTAAGATAATTATTTATCTAAAGATAATTTCAAACAATATTTTATTAACTAAACAATCTAAACAATCTATATCCTAATAGGCTTTATGGTTTAAAAAAGAGGACCGAGTTGACCTGTCCCGAGTTGGTATAGGGCCGAGTTTACCTGTAAATTCAATAATGTAAACAATCCTTGACCTAATTTCGTTTGTCTAACAAATTAACATCTGCAAACACAAAACGAGTTTGAACAAAGAAATAAAAGCATTTCCACAAACCTTTGCGATGTTATTCATCAGCAAATCTTTGTCTTGGATGGAGAAATCTGAAAAACACGAACGTTATTCTGTCGATGGTCCGAACAATGGCGGGTGTGCCCTACTAGCCAAAACCAAGTTTTACCAAATTGCATCCGTTAATTCCAGAATACCTTTGAAAGACTTGTATTGTTATCTTGTTTTTTATTATTTATATAATAATATTTTTGTTTCAAACGCTTTGATTCTATGAAAGTTTGCGAACCATTTTTTGCGAAAATAGTACGCTTTTTTAAGGCCACATATTGTATCCATTGTTTCCTCTTGAGTTATTGACGTAAAAAAAATCAGCGGTGGCATAAAATGCTATTCAATAAATTGCTAAATATATACAATAAATACTTTCATTTCCCTTCGGTTGACTTACATGTGAATTTTTCAGCATCTCTGCTACAAAATGACACCTTATTTATATTCAATTTATTGTACATAGGTACATGGACACAAACTTTTCTGTGGCCTAATGCGTAATAATACTGATGTTTTTTTTTCGTACACGTTTAAGATTATGTTCCATTGATGTTAGCTAACATTGAATATCATCATTTCAAGTATTTTTGAACATCAGCCTTTTCTTCAAGTCATCCACGTTTGAAAGTATACATATAGTTCTGCTGCACTACTTTCTTGGTCGCATTAATTACTTATTTTCTATTGAGCTTAAACAGAATGCAATTAGGTGTTGTTCGTTCTTTTTTGATATAGGCAGACCGATACTATAGAAAGGAAATTTTTTTTTGAAAAAATTTCCTTCCAATAAAATGATTCTGCACAAAGCGTAATTTTCGAAAACAATATGCCTGGTGTTGTTTATATCTAAAAGCTCATTCTTACACAGGGAGTAGTAAATATTTCCACTGGCAACGTAACTATATATCGACTTAAGAAAATATTTGGCCAAAATTCCCTACAACAAACAAATTGAATGTTCCAATAAATTATTGATAGAGTTCTTTCCAAATGCAGACAATTAGTTTAGCAGTAATGGCCTTCTGTATCCAGGAATGAGAGATAACAATACTGTTTTATATTTTCTGATCTAAAGGCAGTTATTTGGAGATGAAATTGCATACATAAGCATTATTTATGAATTAAATTCAGCAATACAAACATTTATCATAGAGTTATAAATGAAATATTGGGTAATATTGATGAAATAAAATGCGTATTTTTATTTTCCTTTTTACAATGTTAAAATTATTTTTCACTGGAGTGAAACATATTTTTCGTATTTTCACTGGTGTCTTGCCGGACTACTTTCTTCTATATTAAGCCAATTCACAAAATTGAAAGGGAATTCTTCTTATTCATAAGGTTAAAAAAGAGAGAAAGCATAATATAAACAGAAAATTCAAGTTTTTTTAATATAGGATATATTTTTTGATCGTTTTGTATGAAAATTATCATATCCTCTCTGTATTTCATCCATATTTGCTGGTGAAAAAATATTTGAACTTAGGGAAGGTAGTGAATGTCGAAGACATCTCAATATAATGTTCCTTATGATTTGTTGATTCTACTCTCCCCTATAACCCCTGTTGGTTCTTTTTAAAAGATAAGAACAAATGTATTCCTTCTAAAAATTGTAAAGTTCTGCCACATAAGACGTTTGAACTATATATGTCCAAATTCTTAACCGTTGAAGTTTAATTCTCCAATCCGTTGTAATTGTTCGGGGAAATCGTGAGAATATTGTTAATTTAACAAACAATCAAATAATGACAGGTAAAGTAAGGTCAGAAGTGGACATTAACCTTCCAGCTATCCGAAAATACTAGACTCGAGTCGATTAGATTTACATCCGAAACAAACAAAGACATGTCTCCTAGGTCAAAAAGATTTTAGCTCATTTTTCTAAATCTATAAAAAGTAAACACGTTGTTGCTCCTTAAATTGCATAATTGCAACTATTTATCTACATTCAAAAATTACAGGAAAGACATTTTCAGATAATTATGTGGAAATACAGTGTATGAAAGCAAAACTACATCCTTGATCCTCTTAATACCTGGTTGTTACCTTCTTGTTAAACTTGCTTAGCACTATCAGAGAGATACATTTCATTTCCAACCATAGCAGGGGTTCTGTTATCTCGTTGTATTTTCCTGTAAACTACTTAATTCTCCTAAATTTCTTCATAGAGGCAATTGTATGGAACATGTACCTGTTTTGCCTAATTGCACAACTAGATATCTCCAAGTGTCAATTAAATTTAACATACTTTAATTGGGATTTTCATTTTGCATTATAATTTTTCTTTAATTCTTTTTACATGATTTAAACACGTTTTAAAATAAAAAGTATAATGCGGATACAAATTATTTCAGTTAAAAAAGCAGATTAAATATAAAGAGTGCATGAGTACTTACAACCAGAAAAATAAACAACTAAAGTAATTTAAAAATACATTCAAGTTTAACAAAGACCAGGTAAGCATCCAAATTTTCAAGAGACAATGTTTTATTGAAAAGGATAATTATTTATCAAGGTTTAGTGGCAAAAGATATATGGGCCTCTCCATGAGAAATCCAACATTATGCAGAAAATGACAATCACACACAAAACGCGATTCAAATCTGACATCAAAATCTGCACGCTTTATATCAAATTAACGCGTATATAATTAGAAATTGCCGCAGTCACACGCACACACACACACACACACACACACACCACACACACACACACACACACACGCACGCACGCACCAACAACACACACGCACACACACACGCACATACATACATACATACATACATACATGCATTTACTCAAATTTTATGGAAAGAAAGTAATATTGAAGTATATCTGTGCCTTTACAAAGAATTCATTTTCTGTATTTTTTAAAAAGAGTATTTTGATTCTTTGCGAAACAGTCTTAAATTCTAAATAGATGTTCCCTATTTTACTTTTAATTAAAAAAACAAAATATATTACACAAAATCCTTTTAATTATTAATTGTATTCTTTCTTTGTAGTGAAATATCTCAGAAAGATTAACTTTGATATTCTGTTTGCTTTGATATTTTATTTATAACAGTCTATTATACAGAAATAAGCAAAGAGATTCATACTTCACTAGAGACAATAAAATATTTTCATTCGGTGTGATATTGTTTCTTTTTAAGATCCCTGTTAGCAACCATTATAAAGTTGCAAAAATCAATTTTATGTCTTGCTAGTAAAAATAAAAAGTTACTTTTTTACGCATTGTTAGTTTATTTACAGACAAACCTACTGATTTAATCAAAATATAGATCTTTGTATTTGTATGTAATTGGTACAATACATGCTAAAATACCATTAAATCGTGCAATATTGATGGAGTAGTTTTCCTATAGCTTGCAATAACCATTTGTTTAGCTATTGTTTCTCACAAACACTATAATGCAAAAGTCAAATGACATGATGACGACATGACATGTTGTGCTCAGTATTAGTGATGAAACCATACAGAGGCACCAAATAGATTACTTAAGGGTATATTAAAAACTAATCAATACAACTGAACGTGAAAAAAGTGTAACTGCTTCATTACTTGAGGCAAAATCATTGACGGCCTATTCGTGAGCCCGTACAACTTTTTGCTAAATACTAAAGGAATGAGAAGTACACTTATATACCCAAATGAACAAATAATATACATGTACATGTATTTGAGGTACGTTTTGTTATATAATTGTTAGGCACTGGTGATAATTGAGTAAGGCAAATATAGAAAACATAGATAAAAACAATTTTGACTGCCTATTAAGTGACTTAGTCGAATAAAAATATATGATTCTGCAAGTAAAATATCTTCGTAGCGAAAGAACTTTACACTCATCATGTCAAAAAGAAGTGTCAAATTTTATTTTGTAAGGATGATTAATATCATTTCTTTACATATCTTCATGAAGATTGTTAGTAGAAATAAATTTGTTCACACAATTCTCTTTTGCTGTTATGATCATTAAAAAATCTTTAATTGGTGTAAGTTATTATTTACCATAGGTCACGTTTTACTAAAAATATTATCAGCTTCACTTTGATAATAAAAAATGTTAGGTTTCTTTACAAATCTTCATTTGATGCTTTCACTTGTAATTTTGTGTTCAATAAAAGTTTCATGACATATTTCTATATATTGTACAAACTGACCCTAGTTACTGTTTAGTTACCACTGTAATGTTGCATGTATACACGCTACGAATTATAGTCAATACAGAATCAGTAACATGGTATCAGTTAAATTTAAAATGTTTGGTCGTATATATTTGTCTTCTTAAGTATGAATTCTTGTTCTGACATTTCCGTATGAAATATTTATAAAGATAATATACAAACATGTACACATATTGCTGCATTTGTAAGAAATTATCACAGATAAATTGGGTTAACTGCTCGCCCTCAACTACTTTCAGAAGATTAGTCAGGTTTTCACTTTTTCGTTATTCTTTTTTCTGTATGTATCTCACGAAAAGTTGCGTGCGTGTTTTGTAATGAAGTGGATTACAGACTTTGTTTCTATGTTCAATTTAGAAAAAAATTTTTTTGTAAATATTTTGTTTTATATTTCTTTCATTGTATATGTTAAAAGATGAGACTTCTAAAAATGATGTCAGTTTAGAATAGAATTAGCACTAACCTCTTGTAAAAATTTAAAAAGAATATCAATAATTTTTTATATTCTAGTTATTATTTCTAAACATCAAATTTTACAGAGTACTGTATTATATATTTTAATGATTTCTGACATAAGTTATCATTTCAAATAATTTAATAAGGTTAACGATGTACATGTATTACTTTCAAAAGAAATGGGGTGCCATACAGTGACGGCAACAATTTGATATAGTAAACATAGTTGATTAAATGTAACCTAAAGTGTATCTAAACCGTTACAAAGCTTGTAATTGTGTGCCCCTTCATGCATCATTTTGGAATTGATTTCAGATTATATTATGTGACATATAAAACATATAAAGTTGTCTTCACAGAACATTCTGGCAGCCAAGATTCAAATATTCTGTTTGAATTATTTTATGTGGAACAACTATAGATTATGCTTTTAGGTTAATTGTCTAGCTAGTGATAATTGCATTATAACGATATTTTGCTTCTATTGATGTTATTTTAATACTACATATTCTTATCAACACAGAAGGATAGAAAAAAATCTTTAACACAGTTTTGTGGTTGTGATCATTTAATAAATTGAAGACAAGGGAAATCGAAAAGTTAAATTAAATATGAATGATGAATACGAGTTATATGTGTAAAATTTACAAGTTTAACTGATCTTTATCATGTTAGAGAGAAAAAATAAGAAAAAAAAAACATGATTTTAACAATAAAAAATTTGTAATCTTTATGATAAATGACAAAAATACTGATTTTGTTTTACAAATGTTTAAGTTTTTTAGGGAAATCTTGCAGTCATGTGAGTTTTAACAGTTATATAATCAAAGATGTTATATTTCGGTGCTTGAAGATCGTTCGGCACACGATCCGTCCATGAAAGGGTTCAATCAAACCGAGCCTGCAACAGTTTCAATTTTGTCGTTTTTTTAGCGTTCTTTAAGGATTCCGTTTTTCTCTATTTTAACAATATTTTCAATGTTTTCAAGTTAAAATAAGAAAGGAAAATAGTGACGTGATTATCCCACATACAGAGGTTAATTGTTTTTAGTAGACATATATCTTTATTGCATTTTATCTGACTGCTC